AGTGGTCCCTCCTTTCAGGTAAGATTTATTAATATACACAATTGTAGAATTGCCCCCACTTCCTGACAGCATCCAATCCACAGCAAAGCCCCGCCTTGTTGGACCCTCCCCAAGTCATCCAATAAGGGTCAGAATCCATATCCTACTGAGGACTCCCTACGGTGCCCACCCCTCCACCGCCATGAGTGATAAACCCCATGATAAACCAGCCAGGGGATGTGAGCTCCTGGTGAGTTGATAATTATGACTGTCTGCACAAGGCAGGGAATCCTGATGAAACTAAACATACCACCCGCTCTCTGTTTTTGCAAATACATCAACGTGTGAAACAGTTTTTGTGATTTAATGGGTCTTATCTCTCCTTGAAAAAGACTGAATACATATAGAATAAAACATTATCGATATATATAAAGGCTATACATCTTCTGAGAAGCTAAATCTGCTTACTCATTGCCCAGATTGAAGCCTATTTTGGAGATGAAGAGAAAGTCTTTTAGCTCCACATGTCTTTTGAGAATGTCTTTTGTTCCACAGGGAAGCAAGGATGTCATCTTTGGCACCAACGTGATGCCATTTTATAATCTAGGTCTGTGATTTCATGAACTCCCAAGTCCTCTCTGCTGTGCACTGAAGTTGTATTTATTAATTTCTATTTTCTCTGCAAGAGACTTCTCAAATAGAATCTGAAGGCTGTAATTGCTTTTGTCCCTACAAAGATAAGTGAAAGGACTTCCCTGGTGGTACAGTGGATAAGAATCCACCTGCCAATGCAGGCGACACAGGTTCGATCCCTGGGCCGGGAGGATTCCACGTGCTGCAGAGCACCTGAACCTATGCTCTGCCACAAGAGAAGCAGCCACTACAGTGGGGAGTAGCCCCCGCTCCCCGCAACTAGAGGAAGCCCCCACGCGGCAACGAGGACCCAGCACAGCCAAAAATCAGTCAATCAATCACATATATAAGTAAAAAGGTAAGTGAAATAGGGCTGTCTCCAGAAGCACAATTGGACGGTCTCTGGAAGGACGCTGTCTAGGTGGGGTGAGGAAATTCTTATTTGGGCAGAGGGTTTGCGTTCAGACTTCTCCCATAGACTGTAACCTTCTGGAGTGCAGAGCCACGGGGCAGTGCAGAAATCTGCATACAATAGATGGTTGGTTAATGGGTCTTTGCCTGTTATAATAACTGATTGAACTCCCCAGGGGAAAAAGTACTGGGTTGGCCAAAATGTTCATCTGAGTTTTTTGTTTAAATGGAGAAACCCAAACGAACTTTTTGGACACTCCAATATGTACAATCATAAAAGTTGCCTTTCTTTTCTTTCCTTGCTCCTACGATTCTTTTTTTTTTTTAATGAATCCTTTTCTTTTTTTCCTAGCTCATACCCTTAAAAGTTTCTACAACCGTATCAAGTTTAAGGGACTTACTACTTAAAACAACTTGGAATTGTCCTCTGCTTAAATCTCTCCTTCCAAATTAGTCACCCTATAAGATTCTAGAATCTTAGACTCTATTCTATTCTCATAGAACATTCTGGATTTCATTTGTGCTTTAATCACTAAAAATGATGGCAACCAAAGCTATCGTCTACATCATTTCCGTACATATTTCCAGGGAGAGAAGATGGACCACAAGCTCAGTTATCTTATAGCTTTTCCATATAGAGACTCATTTTAATTTCAATTAATAAAGTGTAGAGAAATAAAAATCAAATGCATCAGCAGTTACTACCTCCTCTGGGCCTGGAACTGTTCCAACATGAACCACAAAGCAGATTCATACCCTTTAAAGAATTTGTAAATTCAGAAATGCTGGGAGCAGGCTTTTTTTTTTTTTTTTTTTTGAGAGGTTTGAAAGGTACAGAGAGTCCCTGTGTGTAATTTTTGCATGGATTTTGGGCCTTGCACCTCCTTAAATGGACATATAGTGGACTGAAAGGTGCCACTGAGACACAGCTTTCTTCACTAAACTACAGCTGGTATTTTCACAGCACTTGGCCCTCCCTGCAGAGCTTCAAGATGCCAGAACCCTTTCATCCAACTGGCACCCACCAACCCCAGCTTTCTTCTCGGGAAAACAACATGTAAGAAACAGACAAAAACAAAAGTTTAGCCAAGTTAAGATAACCAAACCATTTAAAATTGACAGATGCTGTCTGACATGGAAAATACAAATACTGAACTCCCTTGTTTATGAATGTGACTGACACCAAACCGGAGACTCAGTGACAGGCTCTTGGCTTTGTTCCTTGTCTCTGAGGATGGCTGATCAGGAAAACAATGCAGAGGTGCTCTGTGACCCATTCTGTAAATATTTGTTACCTTCATTCATTTCTACACACTGTTCATTTATTCTTTCAAAAGATATTGCAACAGGTATTGGATTTACCTAAAAGATGAAAAGAACTGAGCCCTGCTCTTGAGAAGGTCATGAAGAGAAAGACATTTTAAATATTAAAATAGTGGAAGAATGGTACTTTGCCAGCAGAACCCTGGGTCAGCTGCAGAATTTAAACAGGAACCCTTGTTCAAAAAGCAGGGGAAAGTGCCATGAAAGTTCTAAAAAAACCAGCTTTTCCTTTCATCCACTATTTCTCCCTCTCTCAACGTGTTATGGTGTTTTTATTTGCTATTATATATCAAACTGCCTGCAGGCAATGGATATGCTCAATAGTACCTTCCTCATTGGAAAATAATAAATAGCTATTCTGGTTTTCAAATTTGATAAACAAGAATAGAAGCATAGAGGAAGTAATTAGGTCTGGTGAGGCTTTCTAATGGAGGAAGCAAATGAACCTTATCAAGAGGAATAATGGGTCCTAGATATGCTTGCTCTAAGCTTTACAGATGAAGAAACAAAAGCACAGAGAAAAGAGGTAATTCAGGGACTTCCCTTGTGGTCCAGTGGCTGGGACTCCATGCTCCCAATGCAGGGGACCCTGGTTCAATCCCTGGTCAGGGAACTAGACCCCACCTGCCACGACTAAGAGCCTACATACTGCAACTAAGACTGGCATGTGTGAGTGCTAGGTCACTTCAGTTGTGTCCAACTCTTTGCAACACTATGGACTGTAGCCCACTGCAGCCAAATATTCTCCTTCTGCTTCCCCCAAAACTTCAATGAGCATTTTCTGTATACCAGGCACAGACATTCTCTCTCCTTCCGTGTCCCAGCCCAGGCTCTTGGCTCCACTCTGCACCCTTTGAATGAAAAATACTGCTGGCATATCAGTACACAAAGGATGCTGTAGCCAGCAAGCAATTGCATTATAGCCACCCGACATCCAGCCCTGAGGGAACTCAGGATGGAAACAGGATGCCCGCTCTTAGGGCCTCAGCCACAAGCACAGCCAGTAAGGAGGCAATTTAGATAAGAAAGGAATGGGTCTTGGAGCTCTTGAGCCCCTGGAGGTCTGGCCAACCCCCCGGGATCTAATGAAATCCTATGACTCACAAGGTGAAACAAACAGCATTGTAACAAGTTTAAAGTAAATCTCGAGTTGCATTTTTGCACACAAATCGGTAACTCATTATATTAGTCTGAATGTAGGTCGGCCCAATTTGGTGATGTATGTGCTGTTAACTTTTCTCTAATGTTATTATTTCTTTTTTTAAAAATGATTGTATGTTGAAATTAAGCCAAATAATCCTCTAGTAAATATTGAAATTGTTTATTGTGTGTGACGAGTGGTTTCTTTTGTTAACGAATCCTTCAAAACTAAAACAAAAGTAAATCTTTCAGCAAAACATTTTCTCAACTTTTAGGTTGAGTAGTTTTCTTTTTCAGTTGACAACCCCATCCAGCTCTCTTCAAGCCTCTGGGCAATGACTGCCTCCTGCTTCCATTCGTTAGCTGGCTGGCTCGGAGGGGGAATGCCTGGACTTGTGGCATGTGAATGGTTTTCCTTTATTCCTGTATTTATCCTGCATGAAAAACCAGGACTGGGACCAGGACCAGGGAGGGTGCAAATTTCAGGGTAAGTCTAAGAGATGCCCTGCTAGTCACTGAAAAATGTCTTGATTGAAGGAGAAATGTGTTGATTTATTTATCCATGCATTTATGTGTTTCCTACCTTTGCTATACAAAAGTATAAGGACTCCTCTCCAAATATGTAGATGTGAATGTCCACCTTTTTAATTTTTAAAAGGACAGAGAATATGTCACCTCAATCCCGACTGAATACACCGCAAATCTCAAATGAAGGGGGAAATAGAAAAAACAAACACAGCTTTTGCTCCTGATTTGTAATATTAATAAGACCTTTGCTGCTTATTAGCTTTTGAATGGGATGAAATACAAATATCTTGTTGGTAGTAAATTTGTTCAGGAACTAACTGGAAGGCTAACTTGAATTTATAGAAAATATAGATTCTTTTTCTTCTGGCTTAAGAAACCAGCTTTAATGTATACGAATAATGGAAACTAGGCACCATATGTTCTTTGCTTATTCGAGAACTGGGACACCCAAGCTTAGCTCTGCCCTGTAAGGAAAGATGGACCTCAGCTGAAATCTCAGAGGACCACACTGGATCTCTCACTCACTACCCATGGCTTTCCTCCATCAACAGCATGATGCTAAGAGTGCTGAAATACCATTCAAAAGTCATTACAGGATTAAATGAGATGTTGTATATAAGACCTTGCACGCATTTGAAACACACAGAAAATTTCCAATTAATTAGGCCTGTCTGTGACCTTCGGGCAAGTCATCCTCACTGGGTTTCAGTTCTTTCCAATTCTAAATTCTCTTTGCAAACAGCCTACAGAGATTAGAGAGAGTTGTAATTAGCATATCAAGCGCCAGCCTGATTCTGCCAGCTCTGACTCTCACTGCAATTACACTGTTTATATGTAAACGGCACTGCCAGTCCCTGGGTGGTAACTTGGAACTCAACTGAGAATGCAATATCCCATTTACTGACCCTCCTCCCTTCCTTAGCAAATTCACTTCGCTGGGAACACAACAGTGACTGACCAGCCCCTAAGGAACTGACCAGAATAACATGATGCAGCTTGAATTCTCAAAATTTTTCTTTGCTTCAGTGATGGGGACAGGAATGACTCTACATGTGAGTAGTTGCCACTTACGGTCTAGAGGGAAGGCAGAAGAAGCTAATTATACTTGGATGGAGTGTAGCAATTACCTATGACAGCCTCTTGAAGCTTTTGGAGGCTAAAGGAATTTTAACTGACCTGAAACTACCATCAAGATGTGTGTGTGTGTCAGCTGGTGGAAATGTAAATTGCTGCAGCCGTTAGGGAGTATAGAGGTTTCTTAAAAAACTAAAAACAGAAGTACCATATGATCCAGCAACCCCACTTCTGGGCATCCACCCAGACAAAACTATAATTTGAAAAGATACATGTACTCCTTTTCATAGAAGTTCATAGCAGCACTGTGTACAATAGCCAAGACATGGAAGCAACCCAGACATCCATCAACAGAGGGATGGATAAAGAAGATACGGTATATATATACAATGGAAAAGCACAAAATAACGCCATTTGTAGCTACATGGGTGAACATAGAGATTATCATACTAAGTGAAGTAAGTTAGAGAAAGACAAATGTCATATGATTTTGCTTATATGTGGAATCTAAAAAAAGGATACAAATGAACTTATTTACAGTAACAGACTCACAGACATGGAAAACAAACCTATCTATGGTTACCAAAGGGGAAAAGGAGGGGGGGCAGAATAAATTAGAAGTTTGGGATTAACATATACACACTACTATATATTAAATAGATTACCTACTACATAGCACAGGGAACTATATTCAGTATCTTTTAATAACCTATAATGAAAAAGACTGAAAAATAATATTTGTATATATAAGTGAATCACTTTGCTGTATACTTGAAACTAATGCATTGTAAATCAAATAGACTTCAATTTTAAAAGAAGTGTTTGTATGTGTGTATGTGAATGTGTGTGTGCGCTTGTGCATGTGTGTGTGCACACAGGTGCATGCTGATTCCAAGAGGAACCTGTATATTTGGGAAGCTTTGCCCAAACGGGTCTCAGACCTGCTGGCTGGCTCCATTTTCCGTCCAAATAGCTGAATCAGCCCTAGTTAAGCCTCATTCACTCAGCAAATACATTTTGCCAAGCACAGGGGACACAAAGATGACTAATCATGGCTTTGGCCTCACAGACTCTTGCTAAGGAGCCTGCGTATCAGCCAGGTGGACATGATACCCCGTGTCAGGGAGGGGGCGCTGTCAGGCACAGAGGAAAGGGCGAACGGCTTTCCCTGGTAAAGGGGGAGGGGCTGGGGAAGGATGGTCTAGAGGAGATGACCCCTTCTGTCTTTTCCAAATTTGCATTCCCTCCATCAAGTCCCTTTCCTGCTCCTCATTCTAAAGAAAAATGTTAGCTTTTGCCACCTGCCAAGTTTGAGCTTCCTGACAGGGGAGTGTGACATGTGTGTGCCCAGTTGCCCAGTCATGTGTGACTCTTTGTGACCCCATGGGCTGTAGCCCGCCAGGCTCCTCTGTCTTGGGATTCCCCAGGCAGGAATACTGGAGTGAGTTGCCATGCCCTCCTCCAGGGAATCTTCCTGACCCAGGGACTGAACCCACATTGGCAGGTGGGTTCTTTTGTTTTTTTACACTGAATTGTATTTTATTTTTTATTGTTTGAAGTATGGCTTTAACCAATTTAATCCAAATCTTTTTTTTTTTTTTGTCATACATTGACCTGAATCAGCTATGGATTTACATGTGTTCCCCATCCCGTTCCCCCCTCCCACCTCCCTCTCCACCCGATCCCTCTGGGTCTTCCCAGTGCACGAGGCTCGAGCACTTGGCTCATGCATCCAACCTGGGCTGGTGATCTGTTTCACCCTAGATAGTACACATGTTTCGATGCTGTTCTCTTGAAACATCCCACCCTCACCTTCTCCCACAGAGTCCAAAAGTCTGTTCTGTACATCTGTGTCTCTTTTTCTGTTTTGCATATAGGGTTATCATTACCATCTTTTTAAATTCCATATATATGTGTTAGTATACTGTAATGGTCTTTATCTTTCTGGCTTACTTCACTCTGTATAATGGGCTCCAGTTTCATCCATCTCATTAGAACTGATTCAAATGAATTCTTTTTAATGGCTGAGTAATATTCCATGGTGTATATGTACCACAGCTTCCTTATCCATTCGTCTGCTGATGGGCATCTAGGTTGCTTCCATGTCCTATTATAAACAGTGCTGCGATGAACATTGGGGTGCACGTGTCTCTTTCAGTTTTGGTAGAATTCAGCTGTGAAGCCATCTGGTCCTGGGCTTTTGTTTGCTGGAAGATTTCTGATTACAGTTTCGATTTCCATGCTTGAGATGGGTCTGTTAAGGTCTTCTATTTCTTTCTGGTTCAGTTTTGGAAAGTTATCCTTTTCTAAGAATTTGTCCATTTCTTCCAAGTTGTCCATTTTATTGGCATAGAGCTGCTGGTAGTAGTCTCTTATGATCCTTTGTATTTCAGTGTTGTCTGTTGTGATCTCTCCATTTTCATTTCTAATTTTGTTAATTTGGTTCTTCTCCCTTTGTTTCTTAATGAGTCTTGCTAATGGTTTGTCAATTTTGTTTATTTTTTTTTAAAGAACCCAGCTTTTAGCTTTGTTGATTTTTGCTATGGTCTCTTTAGTTTCTTTTACATTTATTTCTGCCCTAATTTTTAAGATTTCTTTCCTTCTACTAACCCTGGGGTTCTTCATTTCTTCCTTCTCTAGTTGCTTTAGGTGTAGACTTAGGTTATTTATTTGACTTTTTTCTTGTTTCTTGAGGTAAGCCTGTAATGCTATGAACCTTCCCCTTAGCACTGCTTTTACAGTGTCCCATAGGTTTTGGGTTATTGTGTTTTCATTTTCATTCGTTTCTATGCATATTTTGATTACTTTTATGATTTGTTGGTTATTCAGAAGCGTGTTATTTAGCCTCCATATGTTTGAAGTTTTAATAATTTTTTTTCCTGTAATTGAGATCTAATCTTACTGCACTGTGGTCAGAAAAGATGACTGGAATGATTTCAATTTTTTTGAATTTACCAAGGCTAGATTTATGGCCCAGGATGTGATCTATTCTGGAGAAGGTTCCGTGTGCACTTGAGAAAAAGGTGAAGTTGATTGTTTTGGGGTGAAATGTCCTATAGATATCAATTAGGTCTAGCTGGTCCATTGTGTCATTTAAAGTTTGTGTTTCCTTGTTAATTTTCTGTTTAGTTGATCTATCCATAGTTGTGAGTGGGGTATTAAAGTCTTCCACTATTATTGTGTTACTATTAATTTCCTCTTTCATACTCATTAGCATTTGTGGCAGGCGGGTTCTTTACCACTTCACCACCTGGGAAGACCTGGGGATGTGACATTATCCCCAGGCTAAAGGTGTTGGAGCACGGGGTGGGGTGGGGGGGAGGTGTTGCAAGGCTGAGAACTGCCAGCAGATTGGAGCCCTGCTGACTAGCTGGGGCCTGTTCCCCACCAGGAGGTCTCTGCAGGCTGCTTGTTAACCTCCTTCTCCAAGTGGGGAACCGGGCAGCTGACAGCTTGGGGTTACCACAGGGTGGCTGTTCCCCGAACACATCTGCTGGCTAAGTGTGAACTGCAGGCCAGCTTTTCACTGGGTCCCTGTCTGGGCCTCTTTCAGTGGGAGAATTTATCCAGGAGACCGAGGCCTCTCTGGGTCAAGAAGAATATGGAATCGTGGTTTATGGATGGGTGTCTCCACTTTTACACAACCTGCCCAGTGACGCGCCTGGGAGATACCCGGCAGCCAGGTTTATAAGCTCGAGTCCTCGGGACGGCATCGCCCGGAGGGCCATTCCTGGCCCGGTCGTGGGCCTACAGTTGTTGCTGCTGTTCAGTTGCTCAATCGTGTCTGACTCTTTGCGATCCCATGGACTGCAGCATGCCAGGCTTCCCTGTCCTTCACCGTTTCCCGGTGAAGGCCTGCGATGGGCCTGGAGACTCTGTCTCCCAGGTGAGACGGAGGTGGACCATGGCCACTTCAGCGCAAGATGGATCCCTGTGCCTAAACAAGCTCTGCAGATGGTCACGATCAGAGTTTGAGATTTAGTGCAATTCACTCTTGCCGGGGATGTTTCATAGGAAAAGGAAAATGTTATTGAATGATGCTTGTTCAACCAGATACCAGAAGAAAAGGCTGTTTAATCAAACTCTTCTGTGTTAAAGATCACTTTTGTTACTGGGTGGGTGGGTTTAGGGAACCCGGGAAGAGCCTTCTGGTTAAGCCTGCAGGGGGGATGGCGGTGGTAGGATGGTCTTCAGAGCCCCGATCCGCCCCCTCAAAGCCACACCACCAGTGTCAGGGCTGGGCGTGTCTGCAGCCCCAGCTCCTCAGGGAGCAGGTTTGCCAGCTCAGGGCACCAGGGAAGAGCCACACATCTCTCCTCCTCACAACTTGTCGAAGACTTTTTTTTTTTGCAGAAAAGGTGACAAAACTTATGACTGTGTAAAATTATACCTTGCTCTCAAGGGTCTAAACCATATTGTTAACTGTGATCCAAATGCTGACTGAAGGTGTGGAATTCATAGCATGAGTGTTGTTTTGGGCCAATTTAAGGGGGAAAAAACAGAGACAATGACTTATAAAAATCAGCATGAGACGTTGGCATGCGTTCTCCTGAGGAGGACTCCTTTCCTTTTTCCCTACCCGCCCCCTCCCCCCACCCCCGCAGCATCCTGAGTCCCCTTGGGACTTTGCACGGGGGTTGGGGGTGGGTTTGGAAGGGGGAGGGCTCTGGAGAGGAGGAGCAGGGGCCTCAAAGCTGGTGTCTTAAAAAAGAGGGAAAATACTTTATATGTAAATCCCTCTTTCAGTCATTTACAAACACTCTAACTGAATTATAGGGAAAAAATAAAGATTTTGTATGTCATAATTAGAAATGGGCCTGGTGCACTGGGAAGACCCAGAGGGATTGGGTGGAGAGGGAGGTGGGAGGGGGGACCGGGATGGGGAATACATGTGAAAAAAAAAAAAAAAGATACACTATGGTTGTGGAAAAAAATAAATAAATAAATAAATAAATAAATAAATAAATAAAGTAATTAGTGATATATAAAAAAAAAAAAAAAGAAATGAAAGTATACAAAGCATATGAGGGTTTTAACTATGCATCAGCCTCCTGTATCTCCTTATCTCTGTACAATTTCCTTTCCACCAGACCTTGCCAGCCCCCATTTATTTGTAAATGCAAGTTCACCCCTCACATTGAAAATTCTCTCTAGGAGAACAGCACTGAAATAAGTATACTATCAAGGGTGAAACAGATCACCAGTCCAGGTTGGATGCATGAGACAAGTGCTCAGGGCTGGTGCACTGGGAAGACCCAGAGGGATGGGATGGGGAGGGAGGTGGGAGGGGGGATCAGGATGGGGAATGCATGTAAATCCGTGGCTGATTCATGTCAGTGTATGGCAAAAACCACTACAATATTGTAAAGTAATTAGCCTCCAACTAATAAAAATAAATGAAAAAAAAAAAAGAAAATTCTCTCTAGGGACTTCCTGGGTGGTACAGTGGTTAAGACTGTGCTTCTACTGCAGGAGGTGTGGGCTCAAGCCCCAGTAAGGTAACTAAGATCCTGGCATGCTGTATGGTGCAGCAAAATTTTAAAAAGCCCTGAGAAATTCTTGAAGGAAAAAAAGGAAGCAGCAGCTATTGCATCCCACTTACGTTGCTACTTGTGGCCATAACTCCAGGTGAGAATTTCAAGGGATGATGAAATGCATAGGTTTGACGTCCAAGATTGAAACACTTTTGTAAGTTACCTCATCTCTTTTATAAAGGGAAGATGGCAATTTTGTAAAGGAAGGTCTAGTTAATTCATAAGTTAAAACCTTTCCTTAACCTAAGGAAGTTTAGTCAACCACTGATTTAGGGAAGTGATTCCCTGGTGGCTCAACGGTAACGAATCCGCCTGCAATGCAGGGGCCACAGGAGACTCGAGTTTGATCCCTGGGTCGGGAAGATCCCCCGGAGAAGGAAATGGCAACCCACTCTAGTATTCTTGCCTGGAAAATCCCATGGACAGAGGAGCCTGGTGGAGTACAGTCCATGGCATTGCAGAGTCAGACATGACTGAAGCAACTCAGCATGCATGATTTAGGGAAACATGTCACATTTTATGGGCTTCCCTGGTAGCTCAGTGGTAAAGAATCTGCCTGCAATGCAGTAGACATAATGAGACAAATGAGGGGTCATAGGAGACTCAGCTTCCATCCCTGGGTGGGGAAGATCCCTGGAAGAGGAAATGGCAACCCACTCCAGTATTTTTGCCTGGAGAATCCCATGGACAGAGGAGCCTGGCAGGCTACAGTCCATGGGGTTGCAAAGAGTCAGACATGACTTAGCACACATGTGCTGGGAAGGTGAGCCCCCGGGGCAGGAATCCCAGCGGCCATCTTCTTAGAGCATCACCTGGCTCAGAGCTGCTCCTAAAATGCCTGTTAAACTCATTGATTCTGTCACTGTTCTCCTTGTATAAGACACACATACAGCTCTATTTTTATTTTTTATAATTTATCTCTTTGGCTATGACGGGTCTTAGTTGCGGCATGCGGGATGTTCCTTGAGGCACAGGGGGTCCTGAGCAGGTGGGCTTCAGCTCACATTGTGGCTTGAGGGTTTAGTTGCCCCGTAACATGTAGCATCTTAGTTGCCTTACCAGGAATCGATCCCATGTGCCCTTTGCAGCAAGGTGGATTCTTAACCGCCAGACCACCAGGCAGTCCTCAGCCTCTCTTTAGACAAGGACGAGGTGACTTCTCCTGGGATCCAGATGGTCCTCCAGGAAGCACCAGCCTTAGTCGTGCTCGGGACTAGGAGTGCCAAGCAGGGTGGTGCGGCAGTTCTGGGTCCAGACCTGGCTGGTCACCCTTGGTGGCAGGGGACAGGTGGGTCGACGGTGAGTGAGGATGGAGGAGCCCCCTGGAGGGAGCTGGACGCTTCCCACTGGGCCCACCTCGCACGAGGGCAGCCTGGCCGCCTGGGAGCTCGTGGTCCCGTCTGAAATCAGAGCACAAACACGGCCCATCCTTGGCTGTCCTCAGAGTGAAGACTTTTCACCAGCCGGAGGGCTTAGAACAGCACCAGTAGCCACAGGTGCTGGCTGCCTTTGTTACAGAAAGGAGGGGAGGGCTAAGGGCGGGGGTGATGCAGCGACCAGGGGCAGGCCCCTCCCGGGGCCCCGGGGCGCACTTTGCATACAGCTGGAGCTCGGCTCCGTCCCCAGCCAGCGCCGCCAAAGGCCGCAGAATAAAGACTCAGCCGCAGACACCGCCGTCTGGCCCCACCGTTCAGGGCTCACCCCGTCTTTCCTCTCAATTAACATAACTAAAGGGGGACCCGAGGCCTTTGTCCTCAGCTCACCCAGCCTCAAGTTCATGGCTAACCTGGGACCGGTCATCGGGAAGGCAGTCAGGGTTAGAGGTCCAGGGCCTTGCAAGTCAGGACCCAGGGCATCAGGCTGCTTTCTCCTTTCTGTTCAGAACAAAACCACTCTGCGGCCTGCTTCTTAAGAGGAGAGACCGGCATGTTCACAGCTTAAACAGGCAGATCCCGCCAACAGCCCAGCCCTCTGGAGGCCAGGTGGGTAGGGCTGGGCGTCAAGAGAATTATTTTCTGTCTGGTCACTGGAGCCCAGCTGCAAATGTGAATTTGTAATGCGACCTGGTAGGGGGTTACCCATCTCCACCTGCCAGAGTGACAGCCAGTTTCCTGGGTGACAGGCAGGGCTATTTCCCTGGGTAAAGTCACAGGGAGGAGAAGGGAGTAAAAGTTGAAAATAAAAATGAGCGGGTGTGCTGGGCTGACCTCTTAATGAGTAAAGGCTGACCCCCAAACACCACTGAGGATTGTGGGCCTTAATCCTTCTCCCAACTAATACTATCGATGGCAAATGTTCTTTTAAGTAAGTGACATGCAGGTTTATTTATTTCGATGTATTTATTTAAAAAATTTATTTGGCTGCACCAGATCTTAGTTGCCATTTTAGCTAATCGCAAGTTTGATTATTCGCCATTTATTATGCACTTTGCATTCACAGGTCAAAACAGTGCAACAGTGCAATTTGTGTTTCCTCGAGTGAGTTACATTTGCTTTCTGTGTTAAAGATAAATTCTCAAGTTACAATATGACGTGAAGCTTGTGTGAGTGTAAAGACTTCTGTCTCCATAGGAAAAAGAGCGAGCATTTCTTCAAGGACTTTGCAGGGTTGTGGTTTACGAGTGTCTGGGTATCCATCCACAGGCGTACAGAACTGCTCCAGCTCTGCACAGGCCCTGCTCGCTCTTCTTCCTCCTTTTCTCCCTTGCTCCCTGCTCCTGCCCCTACTTTCATTTTTTTCTGGCCAGACACATTTATTGTCAGGGTCACTGAATGTCTGCTCCGGGTCAGAGACATTTACAGAAACTGAAACTGCCCTTGCTCTCAAGTGCTTTGCAATTTTTTTTTTTCCTTTTTAGATTTTTAAATTTTTAATGTGGACCATTTTTTACAAGTCTTTATTGAATGTTACAATATTGCTTCTGTCTTATGTTCTGGATTTTGGGCCACGAGGCATGTGGGATCTTAGCTCTCCGGCCAGAGATCAAACCTGCACCCCCTGCATTGAAAGGTGAAGTCTTAACCACTGGACTACCTTGGATTTTCACATATGATTTGCTTTGAGTCCGCAGGTCTGATAACATCCAAGAGACCCACCCAGGAAGCCACGTCGAATCTGAGGCACCCAGAAGTCAGCTCAGGGCCACCTGAGTGGCCACAGTCCCCACTGGGCTATGTTCCGTTCTCACCAGGCATTCTGTCCAAACTTTGTTTTTTTTTTTTATTGTTTCAAGGCTTCTCTTTCCGGAAGCTGGTCCTGTCTGAACCTGCAGGCAGTCAGGCTCCAGGAGCGAGGAGCTTACCAGCCTCCAACTCCAGAGCGGATGGTGAGATATGCTGCATTTTGTCAACGTCCACCAAGAGCACACCTGGCGAGTCCAGTGGTATGATGTTCAGAAACCGCATCGCTGGTCTGCGGTGGCAGGGGTCAGGGAGGGACGAGCTGTCCAAGACAGCGTGAGAAATGCCTTTACAGTAAAGCTGAGCGCGGAGACCAACCCAGGGCTGAGAAACACCGCCCGCGATGAGGGAATGCGGGAGCCAGGGTGGAGGACATTCATCTGAGCTGCCAGGCAAGGAGTAAGCAAGCTTCCCGCCACCGGAGCAGGGGGCCCCCGGACCACCCTGAGAGTCCTCCTCTGTGCCATGGGCTAGGATGCCTGCCTGTGCCATGGGCACATGTAGGGCTCTCCTGACTGCGGGTGGCAAGGAGTGTCACAGAGGGGCCAGGGGACCCTGAGCACGCTCACAGCTGGGCCTCAGAGAACCTGAGGCAGAGCGCGGGCCAGGGCGGCTGGGCGGCCAAATCCAGGCCTGGCAATGGCGCTCACCTGATTCCCACTCACCCTCTTTTCAGCCCCAGATGCGGTGGGATATGTACCCTCCCAGCCAGTGTTTGTCTCTGGCAGGCCCCTGTGTATATGATCTTGAAGTGAAAATGAAAGTTGCTTCAGTCGTGTCTGACTCTTTGTGATCCCATGGACTGTAGCCTGCCTGGCTCCTCTGTCCATGGGATTCTCCAGGCACAAATACTGGAGCTGGTTGCATTTCCTCCTCCAGGGGATCTTCCTGACACAGGGATCAAGCCCATGTCTCTTGTGTCCCTTACACTGGCAGGCGGCTTCTTTACCACCAGTGCCACCTGTCATCCTTATAATCTTATTTAATAGAGAGTAAATCGACATTTTGGGGAATTGGGTGAATTTTCCAAATTCATGGTTCCTGAGTGGCTGAGGACTACCACCAAGCCCTGTCGAGTCCAGGGCCTTTCCCTAATTAGTTGGTGGACGCGCTGGGCTGGGCTGGCTTTGCCCGTCCCCAAGCTGCGCCAGCCCCAGCCACCCTGTCCGCAGCCGCCCCTGCTTCCCTCTGCAGCTTGGGAAGAAATTGAGTTTCAGTCTGAGGCTGGCTATTAATCTCAGCATTGTTAGCAGCAAAGTCACATGAGGTGAAGTGTAAGGCCTTTTGCTTCCTGATCTATAAGTGCCCAGACAGCTGTCCATCAATAGCGATTTTATCTTCAGGTCAGAGCGTCAGCTTCTGCCTCTGGGGTGGCACAGGACAGCCCGTCCTGGCAAAGGCGACCTCCCTCCCCCACTGCTCCCCCAGCAGCCTCTGGAGTGTCCCCAGTGACCAGCCCCGGTGAGCTTACAAAGTAACAAAGTGGCTTACATGTGATCCATCCATGTTGTGTTCAAGGTGATTGATAAGAAGCATTCAAGAGCGACACTGCAAGGGAGACAGCCGGGCCCCAGGCCAGGCAGCTGGGGTTTCCTCCCACGGACAGAAACTCCCAGAGAGCAGGAGCAGCAAGAAGACTTGTCCTGCCCAGATAAGCGGCAGAAACCACGTGTTCCTCACTGTCAAAGTCAAGGAGACCTCCCCGACTCCACACACACAGCAAGTCTCCTCGGAGGGTGAAAGAGGGGGCGCCACTCCATAGGAGGTGATCTTAACTACCCATAGGCCTCTTCACTGGCATCCACCTTGGCTGAGAAATGCACACACACCAGGGAGGACCCTGAGCTAAACCGAACACAGGCTCAGAGCCCGGTGGGGCGAGATGACTGGCCGAAGGATACCCGGAAGAAATGTCCCATAAAAGTGATTTAAACCATCACGAGGGTGCAGTGCTCAATGAGCCCGCCCGGGGGTGTCTATCCACAGCTACCCTTCTTCCTCCTAATAAACATTGCACTTGTTTCACTACATTCCGTCTCCTTTTGGGAATTCATTTCTGCAAAGCTGAAGGGCCAGGGCCTTGTCACTGACCACTGGTCTAACAGGCTAGGATTCCGAGCTCTCATTGCCGCTGCCAGACCCGGCTGGGAACTGAAGCTCTGCTTCAAGCTGCTGCAGGCCGAGGCCATCTGAGATCAAAACTACTATGCCTTAAGGATGGCAAGATGTCAAAACGTAATAAAAACTGCCCCTGCAAATGAGGCATAAGATCTGTCCAGTTTTTCCCCTCTACCTTCTTAGAGTCCTTCTCTCTTCTCCACCCTCCCCCATCCCACCTCCAACATCAGGACCAAGTGGTGACCATCATGGCTGCTTAAGGCTTTCCTTCTTTTGGATAAACTTACTCTGAGGACAGAGTGCTGACCGATTCCCTGCAGAGAAAAGACTCATCACTTTCCGTGGACCCTCACCCGGCCATGGGCTTCGCCCTGACAAGGAGCTGCCAAGCCCAGTGCGCACAGAGCTGGCAGATCCTGCCAGGACTTGGGGAGCACTGAATGGGGATGATTCCGGTAATGCCTAGGAGGGTCCCCAGGCTGGGCCAGTGTCCCAGGCCTGAGCAAGCACACCCTGAGCTAGCTGACTGGCAGGTTGCTGGTTGTCATGGCAATGCAACCCCTGCCAAGGGTGGGGTCCTAGGATGAGGAAAAAGCCTGGCAGCTGCTAAGCAGAGGGGCAGGGGTAGGGGAAAGGTGGAGGGCATGATGGGCTTATCAGTCCCAAATGAGCTTCAAGTATCTGTAGGACTTCCAACCTTTTTTTTTTCCTTAAGAAGGAAAAATTCATAAAATAGTGATGATGAAAAATATTGCATGAATGGTGAAGAAAAGGAGAGGTAAGAGAAAAACTTGAAAGGGACCAGGTGCTAGGCATTAAAAATGAAGGCGTGGGACAGTGAGAAAACCTCAGGGCACAATTTAAATCCCTACCCAAGGAGCAAAGGCAAAGGAAAAAAGGAACTTGGGTCTTTGGAGCCAAAGGCAAAAGGAAATGACAGAGTCTGAGGCAGCTTGCTCAGCCTGCAGCCTGGGGCAGCCTGTGACCACGAGGGGCCAGGACTGACCTTGGCGATGACAAAGCCAGGTTTGTGACGGACATGAAAGCGCTGCGGCCCCCCTGCACCCAGAGACTCACCAGCTGCTTTGTACCAGTGCGGGTGATGCCTGGGGATTCTGCACTGCCTTCAACTTGAAGTATTTCTTCTTATGAACTCAGACCTTTCTTGCAATGTGAAAATGGCTTCAGTTTAAATGACAGCTTTAAACAGTCATCACAAATTATGCCAGGGTCAAAACGCATAAAGTGTCAGGCTGGTTTTGAGCAGTTTTGCTTTATTGTTAGATGAGGCCAAACCTGCAGGGGTTCCTGCCTTTTATCAAGTCTGTTCTCCAAGCGACTGATCGTATCCTCCAGGAGCCGGTCGGGTGGGTGAGTGCCTGTCCCTGTGGAAGGAAGAGGACCCCCGGGCAGCCTGCTGGACACTGCACACACAGGCTCTATAACCCGAGCCTGAGGGCACCCCTGAGAGTCTCCAGCCCTCCTGACGCCCAGCAGCCTAACCTGAAAGGCCTAACTCTGGAGTGACCCTGGCCAGCATGTATACATTCATCCAAGTGAACCTCTGTCACTGCTTCCCCAACAGTGAAGCGAGGCCGGGATTCTGCTTAGTGTCAGGTGGGGCTCCTTCTAAAGCAAGCCATCAGCCAGACATGAAACTTGCTTGCTTTGCCCACAGATCACATGGAATTCCCAGGTGGCACTAGTGGTAAAGAACCTGCCTGCCAACCCAGGAGACGCGAGAGATACAGGTTTGATCCCTGGGTCGGGAAGATCCCTGGAGGAAGAAATGGCAACCCGCTCCAGTGTTCTTGCCTAGAGAATTCCATGGACAGAGGTGCCTGGCGGGCTATAGCCCATGGGGTCTCGAAGAGCCAGACACGACTGAATGACTGAGCACGCACAAACATGTGGACCACACCCTGAAGGTTGCCTCCTTCCACAGCTTGCTCTCAAACACAGTGACTGTCTTTGGAAGATGCAACAACAAAAAAGCTGTCCAGTAAGTAACAGACTCATGTGTCCCTTTGGGTTGAATTCAACTTATGCCCATGTTTCCTGGAAGTGACCCTACAGTGGTGTTGGCACCTGCAACTTTTGCACCAGTTCTGGGAAGCCCAGCTGCTGCCAAGGCAGAGCTCACCGTCTACAATTTTCTCCCTGAGGCTCTGTCTGCTCCAAAACACTGGTTTCTCTGTATTGTGAATTCGCATTCATATGTCTGTAAGAATACTTCAGGGGACTCTGATCAGTTTCTCAATTGTGTTCAACTCTTTGAGACTCCACGGACTGTAGACCACCAGGTTCCTCTGTCCATGGCATTCTCCAGGCAAGAATACTGAAGCAGGTTGCCATTTCTTCTTCCAGGGGATCTTCCCAACCCGGGGATTGAACCCGCATCTACTGTGTCAGCAGGAGGATTTTTTACCACCGAGCCAGCATCCCCTCAGCGGAGTATGCAGGATCAGTAAGCAAAAGGTAGTCAACTCAATTAAAAAAAAAAAAAAGGGCAAAAGAAGTGGAAAAAAACCCATGAAAACCACAATACACCCATCAGAACAGATAAAATGAAAAAACACAGGCAATTTCAAGTTGTTGGGCTGCACCCCACAGGCTTGAAAGGCCTGTGCTTGCCCAGCTTCAAGACCAAAGAAAGAGCCTGGAGTCGGAAACAGAGACATCGATGGTTTAACTGATGGGGAGCCAACATGTCTGAAGCAGGGCGAAATTACCAGTTACAGAGGAACTGACGTCAGGTGTGCTCATTAGTTACCAGGGAAACCAGCAGAGGATCACGCCCCTCGCTGCTCCTTTGATAAGAACGAGCACCAGCTGGGGTCAGTCTTATGCACAGGATGCAGGTGAAGCAGGCACTGCTCAGACAAGAGATGGGCAGAGAGCAAGATGGCAGCCATCTTGAGTGGCCTGACCATACACAAGTTGTTAAGAGATTATACTAATATAATTATCATTAATGATTATTTAATCATTTGAATATTTATCTGATTACTTGAATAATCATAGCATTTTGTTATAAAGTAATAAATTATTATTATTACAGTAATATTAACATGCCAGTAGTTTGCTTATAGAGCTGCCGGTATTGAAACAAGGCAGGACCCTATGGTCCTTTCCCCACATGTCCTCAGCTGCCTTTTGTCTGTAGAAAAACTTTAGTCAGAGAATAAGTTTAATCAGAGAAGTGAGAAAATGCAGAAACAAAAGGAAAACAGTCCAACAGAACACACAGTCGTTGAGTCACTAAGTACAGCCAAGGACCTTTAGTTCCTCCTCCAGGGCTACAGATAATACTCAGCCATCTCCTGTGAGCTGTCTTTTAGACCCTGAAAAACCCCACCAGGTGGAAGAAGTTAACCACATGATGACTTGACTGTGGCCATGACACAGACTGCCACAATTCTGAGAACTGGCCTCAAGCAAATGGGAGCCCTGGAACTGAAGACTTAACGGTACTTAAAACAATCAAGAGGATGACCAGACCACCGGTGACCAGTTTCAAGATGACTGTCAGAGCCGCTGTAGCCCCCTCCCTCCATCTATACATCCTTGAAACTCTCCTCTAAAAGCCCTTGTCCGTTGAAGTCGGGGGGAGTTGGCCACTAGACAGGATTCCACCCTGCCCTCTGGTTGTCCACCTCCAAAATAAAGCAAACTTTCCTTTCCACTAACCTGGGCTCTTTATTGACTTTTGGGTGGTGAGCAGCCAGACCCCACTTCCGGTTATAGAACACAGACACTAAATCGTCCCAGCCCTGTGGGAAACGTCTTGGTTGGTACCTATGAGTATAAAGCACACCCTAGGGCCCAGCAACCACCTCCAGTGTACCCAACAGGGGTGCACACCTATGTTCCCCAAAAGAAAGAGGAAGAACGATGTCTGTGTCAACCCTGCGCTGAGCAACCCCAAGCCATCCTAGTGTCCTTCTGCACAGAGTGGGTGAGTCATGGTTGATTCACACGATGAATCACTGAGCACCGCGAGCACGAACGTGCCTGACCGACTGCAACGACACGGAGCTCACACCGCCTCCGAGCGGAGGAGGCCCGCACAGCAGAGTGCCTGACACGACTCGTTTCTGCAGAGTTCAACAGAAGGCAGCCTGGGGCGGTGTGCAGGGGGTGGGGGGGCGGGGCGGTCCTGAGGCTACTCTTGCTTGTCCACTTTATCTGCTGTACAACTTATGATTTGTGTCCTTTCTTTATTAGCTATATGGCATGCAGGATCTTAGTTCCCTGACCAGGGATCAAACACTTCCCCTTGGAGCTCAGAGTCTTAGCCACTGGACTGCCAGGGAAGTCCCTTGTGTCCTTTTCTGTATGTGATTCTGCCATAGAAACAACTGAATATAGAACAGAACCATGTAAAGAACAGGCTTTTAGACTCTGTGGGAGAAGACGAGGGTGGGATGATGTGAGAGAACAGAACTGAAACATGCGTATTACCATATGTGACACAGATCGCCAGTCCAGGTTTGATACGAGACAGGATGCTCAGGGCCGGGGCACTGGGATGACCCTGAGGGATGGGATGGGGAGGGAGGTGGGAGGGTCAGGATGGGGGACACATGTTCCCCCATGGCTGATTCACGTCAATGTATGGC